TTTACTGGAAAATTCATGCTGACGCTGTTTCCGAGGCAATCTCCTTCGATTCCGGTGAAAAGTTGCTAAGTTTTCGTCCGTCTTCCAGTAAAGCCAATCGACAGCTGGTCAAGAGGAATTCGCCGTCGTCTTCTGGTTGAACCGAACAACACTTCTACTCGAAATGGAAGTAAGCCCAACAATTATGAAAAAGAGATTCCTTGAAACCCAACTTTTCTTCGTATCGATCTGTAAAGTCAACATGAAAAACAAGATGCATGTCAAGCGGTGGTGCACTCGAGTAAAGTATCGGCTTGCTTTCGCAACATGGTCATATTGGTAGGAAGACTCATTGGAACGCACCTAGTCGGGGTACAATGTCTGCATGATCATTTCCAAAGTTGAAGCGTCGACGTGTTACATTCCCAAACGTTGCGCCGGCATCGTCAGTGAGTATCGCCATTCTTAGCACCACACAACAACTAAATCGCCGACTAGGATGCCGGCGGAACGTTTGGGAATGTACTACGTCCACGGTCCGACTTATGTACAAAGAAAGGAGACTGCAACCACACAAAAGGGAACATCATCTTGGTCTTCATATCTTCGATTGAAAGTATCAGCTATTCGTGCATACTTTAGCATACCGTACGTATGCTGCCAGCCAGAAAAATGGAGTTCAACAATATCCTCGAAATGTTGTCCTGCCCTCCAAAAGCTATTCTCACCCAAATGCACCCGACTGACGCGTCTATAACATATCATTATTTTGGGAGAATCCATTCGCCCTACGCCTACAGGAAGACGTTCAAAGCAGGAACATGATCTCTGCCAGACGGGACTCGAACTTTATCCGTTTGGTGTTTTGGTGGTAGAAAGACCAACTACACCGAATGGGTGTTTCGAGGTGGCGGGCAGTAGTGTTGGGGCTTCGGTGGCCGTTGGCTGGAGCTAGTAACTAACTGGGCATGAAGCCGGTGTCGGGCGAAAAGGCCGTCTCGAACCGGCACAGGTCGGTCGCCAGGCGGTTTTCGGTGCAATCAATCAAGCCAACAAGTTGGCGGGGCTTCAGACAATTGACAGACAGACAAAGTAGTAGAACCCGAGCCTGAGCCTGAGCCTGGGTCTGGGTGTGGGTCTGGGTGTGGGTCTGGTGAAAACATGTGCCTCAAAAAGTGGCCTTTTATGCACCTCGTGGGTGTACTCGCTCTCGGCGGACGAGAGGCCGGTGAGGCTGACTGTACAGTCGGGCTGCACTTGAAGCGTGTGCACATGCCGCAGTGGGACAAGTAAACAAGCCGGGCGGCCCACATGAACCGACAGAGTGTTTCGCATCAAAACAAGACCGATTAACGGCCCCAAATTTGGGCGCACGTGAGGGATAAAATAACACGCTTCTGCCTTTGTCCACGCATGAGCCGAGGCCGGCAGACTGAAAGCTGCAAATCGCACGAAAGGGTACCAGAATGCAAATTAGGCGGGTTTTATTTGCATTCGAGGCTTTCGGTTGAACAAAACAGTCGATCAGGGCAACAAGTTAATTACACCTCGACCTGTAATCCATCAAAATGGCACACAAACAAGATGAATTAGGTGAGCCTGCCAGGAACGTGATAAAATCTTTGCCAGATTCGGCGAATTGACGGTTGCCCCGTCAAGATGGGATAGTGTACCTTTATAGGAAAACGGGCTGTCCAACGAAGAGGGTCTGTGTCTGCGAAGGGTCGGAGTTTGGTCGCCATCCTGCATCTCGTCGTGACGACCCTCTACCGCGGACAGATGATACAGCTTAGTTGATGTTGCCACCTGCTTTCCTGCCGGACTTGACGGCGCCGTTGTCGCTTCACCGTTGCCGTCTGCCATTGCCTGAGACCGGTTGGGTGGGAGGGTGAATAGTCGAGAGGTTAGTCAAACCATGCGGTTCTCTTATTTCCTGTACGTATGTATGTACGTATGTGTAAATATATATGTGTGTGTGTGCCTATTTATGGATGTGAATGTGGCCGGACGACATCACGCCCAGCATCCATTTGCCACGCCCAGCAAAGGGCGTTGCCCAAATCATTCAATCGGAGTTAACTGTGAAGGATGAATAAGAGTGAATACCAACGCGACCTAATTCAATAAGAGCCGACCCGAGCCGATACGATTCAATTCGAACCGATCCGGGTTGCCTGGAAGACGGGCCAGAGTAGATAACATCAAAACATTGCATAAAAGTACCACATCAAACAAGACGAGTACATACCTTTGGGAGTTGGCATGGCACCTCGAAGAACCGTTCCGTGTGGTCGGACACAACACGAGCCAGCATCGGCGAGCCTGATAGTCCGAAGAGGTGAAGTGACGGAAGAACGGAGAAATAGTTTCGCGAGCAAACGAAATTGGTGTCCTTGTCGTCGGGTGGAAGGTTGGAATGATGTCGTCTCGATTGGTTTATGGCTTATGATCTTCGTGCTGAGATCCTGGGACCCAGTTAATCAGCTAGCTGAGCCAATCAGAAGAGGCCTCCAGTGAAGGTAGTATCAGCCAATCAGGACAACCGACCAGTCGGCCAATCAGCATCGAGTGGTATGCATCGGATTCCAGTGTCGAACCTGGCAAGTCTCTGCCTGCAGCTACTGTCTACACACACACACGCACACACGCACACACATACACGCATACAGAACGAAGTAAACAATCAGGCTATTGTGGAGGATCAGGCCACAAGCCGGTTATCAGATGACAACAGCCTATTATCTCTGCTCCTCCGGTTCTAAGGCCACACCAAATGGGTGAGACGCTTGCTTGACGCGGTGCAGAGTGGAAAAGAAAACCAGTTCGGACATCTTCTTTCGAAGCACCAAAATTGACCGAATCGGGTCAAGTCGACAATTGCCCTGACAACTGAAAGTTCCCAACACAAACCTCATTCTTATCACATGAGCTAATTGACCTTCTTCTGGAGGGCTTAGAGAGTCAAGTGAAAGCCAACTCGTTTGGCGTGTCTGCTAGTCATAGATGGTGAAGAAAATAGAAATAATTGACGTGATTAGGTAAGGGGAATAGGGAGAGACTAAAGAGATTATCATCAATTCAGTCAGTTTACGTTTCCTTCCAAACGGACAGCAACTGAGTGAGTGCGTGGTGGTAACTGGCATGATTCAAGGGGCACACGAGAAGCAGGCCAATCTGTTTTGGGACAAGACAGGAGTTATCCAAAAGTTTGCAGCAACACATTTTGCTGGGCCTAAAAATGCGATAAGATCCAATACAACAGACCTCGTAACACAGTCTCGAAACGCTACTCTTATACAAATATAAGTAACCTTGTCGATTGCTATAGCAAACATACATTTGCTTAATCGGCACTCTCACCAAAAGAACATTATATAGCAAAGAGGCCTGACCCTCCTTGAAATTCACATTTGCCTTGTGACTCAAGGGTGGTCGTGGCAGTGTAGCCGAGTGGTTACCGTCCTGCATTGTCACGGTTCGAATCCCGCTGAGGGTGTTGATAAGACCGATGCGAGGTCGAAACTGCAGTCCACTCCAGCTGGGATGAGAATAACTTTTGGGAAAGCAAGGCTATGTGAAATTCAATGGAAAACGTCAGCTTAAG